TAAAACATAGTAATCAACTTCTCCTCCATGTTTGCTCAGAGATGTACGGAGCATTCTTTCTGCTCATTGGTCAGTGAATGAAACCTCCGTTGATTGGTCCTCGTCCGAGCGACAGCGATGAAAAGTTGAAAATATTTCAACTTTCTGGGATCGCGTCGCTGGGTCACCTGTGCACGACATGTGCACGAGCACAAAATTTCACACGCACGTTTTTCGCGTTTCGCTTGGTAGGAGGGAGACCCGCGATTATCGCTTTGTCGCGCATGTCTCATTGAAAATGAATGGAGGAGAGGCGATGTCGCCTCCCATGTGTCGAGCCCATTACACTGACGCGATGGGATGTCCGCAGCCAGGGCACCAAACAAGCTCATTGTACCTCACCTTAACCTTGTCCTCTTATTCAACCTTGTCCTCTTATATAACCTTCCCCTCACCCCTATCCTATCCTAACCTTAACCATCTTGCTAGCGAACACGTTAGTGGTGTGTCGATCGCTCTAAAAGCCGGCTCTATGAAGTGAACAGCGGGAGCCGCCTCGTCATTGGTCGAGTTTGGACCAAGCCACGGCTGAAATCCCACCGCCACGTCTACAAGATCCCAAGTTTTTTTTTTTTTTTTGGGCTGTTTCCCGAAGAAGCAGTGGGAACTACTATGTTGTCGCTTGTGATCACAGCCGGCAAGCAGGGCAAGGTGAAGTTACAGCATAAGTTACAGAGTTTAAAATTAGAAAGGTAGCAGTGGATATAATGCTTTTTGGTTTACATGTTTCAGTAGCATTAAGATAAACGAGTGTTGACGATCTTGCCAGGTTTCCTCTCCCCACCAGGCTAAGCATCACTTATTCATGTCTGACTTTAACCGCATCTAATACTGTATTACGGCGTGAGCGCAACAGCGACAACTTAAGATTGATGTGTGAGCAGCCTGAGAGGTCGGGTGTTTTCATCTGAACACTTAAAACCTCCAGCAGGCTATGCTGCACTATTGGCGTGTTAGCGCGCGGCGCTAACAACTTAGCGACGTGACATGTCTCGGAGAAAGCGTAAAAACACGTTGGACGCTTCTTCTGAAGCAGAAAAATAACACCTCTTCTTAAGCAGAGCACGACGTTGCCTCGGCTCGTTCACGGCCGAGCCGGACTGAGCTCGATAACATTGACCCAGCACAGCCACTGGGTCGTTGGAGCTGCCCGTGACTGCCTAATGGAAAACCAGCGGGTTTCATCAGACTCGTAAAGTTTCTTGTTTTTGCTGGGGACCCCCTGTATTTTACCGCTCCCTCCTGCAGTCTTCCCCTATTAACATTTAAAATGATTCTGTAAATCCGTGTATCAATACAAACAATCTCTGCCTCTGCCAGCTGCAGTAAATGTAGTCTCCAAATAATAAATAAGAGGTGCATTCATCTGTGGATCTCCTTTGACCCGCATTAGTGATATTTTCAGCACCAAAACAATGAAGCAAAAAAACAGATTCCTGAGTTTGTTAGTAATTTTATTTATTAGGTGAATCTAACCTGTTCTATTTTTCTCTGAAATGAGATCAAATCAGTGGTTCTATGGGTTGTTATTTGGAGACGTGTCATAATCTACCCCCCCCCCCCCCCCCCCCCCCCCGGCCGGCTGGCCCCACCGCCACAGCTGGAGAAATTCCAAGGGGAAACACTGATCTTAATCTGCTCCATCATGTAAATAAACTCTTTACGATAACGTTAGCTTTATAATTTAGCTTCCATTGCTAGCAACTAATGGTGAGTTCACTTTCTCCTTGGTACTGGGAAATTCTGACTTCTGAGTAGATAAACTCAAATGTTTAAAAATGAACGGCCAAAGGAATGAAGATGCACAGTAAACTTAGTTCACAGCAAAGATGTTTGCTTCAGTTTAATTTGCAGTTCATAAAACTACAAGGACCCACCATCACACAGTTTGTCCAGAGGTGAAAGAGGAAGAGTACATGGAGCTGGGTTTAGTTTTTGTGTCATTTAGAAACAGTTGTGGTTAAAAGTTTTCATATTGAAGTTTTTACAATACTAAGATGATAAAATACAAACAGCGTGTATGTTATTTCTCATTATATTTATCAAATATGGTTATTAATTATAAAATAGATTTTATTAATTATTAAACACTCAAATGTATCAAATATTGGTACCATTAAGTACCAGTATCAATTCCTAGGTAGTGGGAATTGGTACAGAATTGATTCAAATGTGAAAGGTACCTATTCCTTGGCAGAGCGCCCGTAAAGACCAGCAGGGCAGAGTCTCGGCTCAGGTCAAGACTGAAGCGGAGAATTCTCCACAGTTCACCGTCCTGTGCTGTTGTAGAGCAGCTGAGGACACCTCGTGGAGTTTTTCTATTATGACGAACCGGAAAATGTTGGAATGTGTAATCAGAGACTTATAAACACTCTCCTGTATGTAAAAGGTGGATTATTTTTACTATAACATGGACTATTATGACCTTAAACCAATAAAGGTAGGACTGAGTTAATGCGTTTAACTTCATGAAATCAGCTTTGTTTGTATTTTATGCTGAATTAGCATTTATTGGTGAATATTAAGTAGTTTTTAGAACAATTTAACTGTTACCGTCTGTCGGTGTGACTCATAAGAATGGTGATGTGGCGTTCCCTGGTGGTGATATGTAGATAGTGCATCTGAAATCAGCTCAGTCGTCCCATCCGCAATTTCCAGACTTAATTATTAGAACAATGAGCGATGAGGCTATTTTTTAATACGTTCATAATGTATTGAAATGTATCAAAATCTGTAATTTGTCCACGTGGACCTCAAGGGATAAACCATCAACCCCCCTCAACGATCACCTTTCCTGGAGGGGTCACCCAATAGGACAGTGGGAGGGTTAAAGCTGCTGTCGAGTTTTCCTATTTCAGAAATTATGTACGATGTTTCAGAAACCATAAAGGTGATTTTCTTGTCATATTCTGTGATATAATGTAGGGAATATGTCTTTTTATGTTGGCTAAGCCAACCCCCTATCCCGTAGAGCTTCATGCATTATGAACTGAGCATCGAGCTCATGTACAGACGCCGATCACAGAGCGTGCTCGAGCATTTAAGGACGTACTTCGGTTGATGCAGAAATGTATATTTAAAATTGAAATGTATGAAAAAACAACATAACATGAGCATAACAATTGTAAAGCTATTTGTTTTAGCTCTGTTTTGTCAGCTAGAGGAGCACTTCATGAAGAAGAGATGTTGCTTTTGGGTGTGATATGGTTGTCAGCCACTAGATGGTGCCATGAGATAAAAGTAATAATCCAGAAATCAACTTTAACTTGACAGCCATTTCCCACATGAATTCCTACATTGTGTTTGTTGCTCGTCCTGACTGTGGTGTGCTGTGGCTGTCAAAACAAGTAAGTCTCGGCCAAACTATCTGTAGGACTAAAGGGTTAGAGTTAACCTGACATGTACAGGTCCATGCTTTCGTTCTTTTTTAAACACAGAAACAGTTTTGTTTACCTGTTTGTAGCTACGGTTTCGCCGACAGCTGCCGGCTTCTTCAGGCTGACGCTGATGGTGGCGCGTCACTTCCTTCTCCGTTTATCCGCGGGCAGCAGAGGACATTGTCGCCCTCTACTGCCCGCTCTCCCCTCTCCGACGATGCAGTCCCATGCGTGGTCCAGCGTGTAAACTCCGTCGTCCCTGTTCATGGTCCCACATCCACGTCTCCTTATCTCTATTGCTTCCTTGATCCATCTTTTGTATTTTTGTTGTTCAGTGGTTATGATCCGTGTGCTGTCCCAGTCCATTATATGGTTTTCTCTTAAGCAATGTTCTGTTACGGCTGACTTTTTTATTGTACTTTCTGCTTCTTCTTTTGCTGCTCTTGTGTGTTTACGAAGTGACGCGCCACCATCAGCGTCAGCCTGAAGAAGCCGGCAGCTGTCGGCGAAACCGTAGCTACAAACAGGTAAACAAAACTGTTTCTGTGTTTAAAAAAGAACGAAAGCATGGATTTACAAAGACACAGCAAGAACACACCTAAGATGTACAGGTCCTCCTAAAAACAAAGTTTTAATTAGAGGTCAGCATCTGAGACGTTACCGCAACATCCTACTGTCATGTAAACTATTGCTTCTCCTTAACCGCTTTCTTCTACTGTCGCTCAGGCTTGAACACATCACAAACCAAATCACTACCAGTCGCACCGATAATTTATTTATCATTTGCTTTGTTTTTTCTTGTTCCTTTGGGCTGATTGTTGCACTTCGTGGCCCAAGTTCTGTAGTTTTTCTTCTCCTTTGAGCAAATCGACTGGAATTTCTTCATTAAAAGGTGTTTAAATGTGTTGTACTTTGAGGTGCATCCTTGTTTTCTACCTGAGCCTGGTTCCAACCTCACATTGTTTCATGATTTCCTTTCAGGAATTCAAACTGAAGTTTTTCCGTTACTGAGAATAGGGTGTAGGGGTAAATAAACCTGCAGCTGGACACGACTGCACCGGGGCAACAACTGGAAAATGCCAGGATTGTAAGGGTAAGAGCTCGCTGCTACATACTGACATAAAAAGAGCCATGAACTGGTTCCTATTTGGACCTGAAGGTGAACTAGTTCAGTGGAAATGGTGGGAACTGAACCTTGAGCTACATGTAAACCTCCCCAGCACTGCAGATGGTCACTGAAGGGCTTGCCTGCCACAACACAGTCCTTTCAGCCTCTTGATTCTGAACAGAGGGGAACGCTTGAGCAGAGCAGGACACTTTTCTAAGCTGCAGCCATAAAGTTGAAAAACAAACTAATACAAGTTTATTATGACCCATCTTGACAAAAACTAATCTTTTATGTACATTTTAGCGTTTGGTTAGCACATCCGTCCGGAAGCATTTTTATCCACCGCTTAGATGAATGAACAGACGTTTTCGTTCTCCATCAGATTCTAGTAAAACATTTCGGTTGCACTAGGCCTGAGTTTCTGTTACTTAGGTGTAACTACAGTGGTGACATCATGAGCTTACAGAGGAAGTTACCGTGTTCGATCGCAGGGACACTCGCCCCCCACAGCGAGCACAGAACTTGGTCTGGCAGTAGGAGCACAGATGCCCACAGCCATCTGCAAACTTGGTCTTGTGACAGATTCCACAGGTTGGTGCGTCGTCCCGATGGATCGCCGAGCCCGCTGCAGCAGAGGCCTGTCGGACCACCGTCTCTCTGTAGCTGGTCAGCTGCTGCTGAATTCCTCTAGGAAGACAGATTGGAAGACGGGTTGGAACCATCACATTGACATAAACAAGTTCAGCTAAGTCCACTTTAACCCAGTTACATGTTCGCTGTGAGCCCAGTTTCACTAGTTAAACTCCTAATCTGTCTGATTCTTCCACTAAACAATCATCATCAGGGTTTAAATCAGATTTCAGCAAGTTAAAACACACACACACACACACACACACACACACACACACACACACACACACACACACACACACACACACACGCACGCTTACACAATTCTCATGAAGACCCACACTGAGATGGAGAAAAAGATTTTCAGGAAGAAAGGGAAATTCATGATTCCATTAATTATGACATGTTGTTCAAGTCTGGAGGAGACAAAGTAGTTCCCAAAACGGCATATGTCATCATCATCATCATCATCATCATCCTCATCATCCTCATCTTTGTTTCCATAGCGCCTTCCACCACCTTCTTGGAGGCTCAAGGTGCTGTACACCAGCACAGTAAAACAGGGACAATAAACAGAAGCTGGACAAAACAGAATAGACAGAAAGTATATTAATAATAGAAGAATAAAAATAGACTAAAATCAAAATCCCAGAAATGACCTGGAAACTCAGGGGGGGACTCACAGTCAATGAAAGAGCACCATAAAGCCAAGGAAGTCAGGGAGAGTTCCATCAATAAAAAGCGTTTTCCAACGAGACTTAAAGACTGTGTGGAGGGCTCCTGCTTCACAATCAAAAGAAGCCCACTCCACAGCTTTGGGGCCACCACGGAAAAGCGTGGACCCCCGACATCCGTATTCAGAGTGCGGGACATCCAGGAGTCTTCTGCCTACAGAACGCAAGGGGCCCGTGAGGGGACATTTCTGTGGAGCAGTGCAGAGAAGTAGGTCGGGGGCGGTGCCTGTATGGAACAAGACCTTAAACCTAACCCGATCGTCGTGTTCTTGGGCAAGATGCTTCATCCTCCTTGACTGCTGTGGTGGTCAGAGGGACCAGCCTTGCTTTTGTTAGTGTGCCCCTGGAAGCTGTGACTAGCTTCAATCCTTCATGCAGAAAGACCCTCAGTGTTTTAAAGAAACACACAAATATTCACACCAAAGGCTCATTTCAAACCAAACACATATGTTTGGGTCCAGATGAATGAGATATCTCTAACATTGTGAAGTTTTCTGTCCATTCCGCACTGCCAGTGAAATAATGCAGGCTTCCGCAGAGCTTCATGACATGCTGAACAGGAGATTCAACCACCCACTCAGTTGTTCTGGAGCAGGGAAATTACTAAAACATGATGAGATAAAACGTGCATGTGTGTGATGTGTGTGTGTGTGCATGTGTGTGATGTTTGTGTGTGTGCATGTGTGTGTGTGTGTGTGTGTGTGTGTGTGTGTGTGTGTGTGTGTGTGTGTGTGTGCATGTGTGTGATGTTTGTGTGTGTGCATGTGTGTGTGTGTGTGTGTGCATGTGTGAGATGTGTAAGTGTGTGTGTGTGTGTGTGTGTGTGTGTGTGTGTGTACATGCGTGTGTGTGTGTGTGTGTGTGCATGTGTGAGATGTGTAAGTGTGTGTGTGTGTGTGTACATGCGTGTGTGTGTGCATGTGTGAGATGTGTAAGTGTGTGTGTGCACGTGCATGTGTGTGATGTGTGTGCGTTTGCATGCATGCATGTGTGTGTGTGACGTGTGTGTGCATGTGTGTGATGTGTGTGCGTGCATGTGTGTGTGTGCATGTGTGAGATGTGTATGTGTGTGTGTGCGTGTGCAGGCGTGCATATGTGTGTGCGTGATGTAGAGATGGCGTTAACTTAGACAACACTGGACTTAAATCACGAAAAAGTCTTTATTACACATTTATTAAAATAAGGAATAGCAGGGACTTGAATGAGATGCAGTAACATCAACTGCGATCATTCTCTTTTTGTACTTCTTGATGCAACCTGTTTCTAAAACTTGGTGTGTCACGTTCTTTTTAGAACATCGTAGCCATAAATGATATGGTTCTAATTACTGACATGATAATTTCTTTTGGTGTTTCGGTTTTTCGGCCGTGGTTTCCTCCTTTTCGGTTTCTGAAAAGAATTTTCATTTCGGCGCATCCCTATTCAGGATGAGACCTTTATTATAGCCTCGAGTCAAGTTAGTTTGGTTAAAAAGTCCAAAATAACAAACATTTTCATAGAATAGAATAGAATAGAATAGAATGTACTTTACTGATCCGACAGTGGGGAAATTCTCTTGTTACAGCAGCACCAACACTCAAGGGAATAATTGGAGAGAAAAAAAAACAAATGTACGTGTATATACACTTAGGCAATAATCTAGTACTGTAACCTTCGACTGATAAAAACCACAAATAAAAAAAAGAAGAACTTGGGTTCCAGAACTATGCAGCATACTTTAAGGGACACAGACATACTATGTACATCTGGTATTGCACAAGCATTGAACACATCATGAATATTGCATTGGTGTAACTGTGTACCAGGATAATACCAGTACAGCTTAAACTGAGGAGTTATACTCTTACTGCAGAGGGATGAATGACCTACGGTAGTGTTCTGTTTTACATCTGGGATCTCTCTGTCTGCCTCTGGAGGAGCTCTAGCTCTGGTTATCGACTGAGGGACATTCAACTTTTATTTAATAAGGTTTAAAACCCTTTGAGTGTGTCTCATTCAAGTAATAGAGATTTGCTTTGTTTGTTAGTTCCTCTGGGCAAAATGCAAAGGCCTGCAGTGAAAATCCAGGGCTTTGTTCCAGGATCAAACCTGTTGTTTAATTACTTTGTTTTAACCATTCCACCACCCCACACAACTGCTGGCCAGCAGGGCTGGGCATCGAGCATCGATTGGAACTGATTCCAACTGTTCGTTTTTCCCGGAATCGTTCAAAGTTTTTTATTTTGATTCCTAGTTTCGATTCCTAGAATGCCGACCAGAAGAGGAATCCGTGGCCAATTTCCGTGAAAAATAAACGTGATCTGCAAATTGTGATAAACGCTTTTCAGAGCTGATCACACCAGCTGTCTGTGTGCAGCACCGAGTCCCCCCTCCCCCCAGCCAGATATAAACAAACGTGTCTGCCGAACTTTTACTCCATAATGTAAACTTTTACTCCTGCAGCGTAGAGGAAACTTGTTATAAGATGTCAACACGGTGGATTTAATAGAAGCTTTAAAGAACAAACTCTGGACGGTGTGAGGTGAGTTTGTCTCACTGCAGAAATAAAAACACACACAGAGCATCAGCAGTCAGACGCAGCCGCTCACCAACACTCGTGCGTGTGTGTGTGTGTGTGTGTGTGTGTGTGTGTGTGTGTGTGTGTGTGTGTGTGTGTGTGTGTGTGTGTGTGTGTGTGTGTGTGTGTGTGTGTGTGTGTGTGTGTGTGTGTGAAGGCTGAGCAATAACCTGTAGAATAATTAAAGTCATCATGCTAGAGCAGCTTTCTCTGTGGTGGACCACACCAGCTTCTGCCACAATAAATAATTATAATAATAATAATAAATCACATAAAGCTGTGAACATTAAAAAAAATGAACTATTACTGTTGAGAGTTTTAATGTTTAAAATCTGTTAGATTGTTACTGACTGCAGCTGTATTTAAGTTTCACTTTCTGTTCTGACTGAACTAGCATGGCACGGAAGCACGACGTCCCTAAGTGAACATCTGAAAAGAAAACTTGTGGGGGCTGATGCAGCAGAGGAAGAGCCAGCCCGGTAAGTAACAGAAAATAAACAAGATAAATACAGTGGTCCATCGCTACACGCAGATCAAATTTGGGACTTCATGTTTTCGCTGAGTTCGTTATAGTGGATGTTAAACATGTTTTTTTTTTTTGCCACGTCAACCTACTGTGGTCTACTTCTGATTGACTAGATGCAATCGTGAACCTCCTCCGTGTTGTGAATCATGCGCTTGCCAAATTTAGCACGTCTGTTTATAAGAATGTTCTCGTTAAGTGAAAAACGGCACAAACCCATAACTATGTTCCTCATTCAAAAAAGGACAACTCCGCAGAGAAAAATATACAGATGAGCTGTGTCCAGGTGATTATAACGTGGCATAGTTGTACACTTTAAATTTTTAAATACAGGAGAAATTGTGAAAAGAAAGTCATTCTTTTACTATTAAAAGGCTGTTTTACTATCTAATGCTGTAAAACGCCTCACAACACATTTTTATCATGTTTCTTAAACAGTATTACACAAAATAAACGTCTTTCATATTTCTAGCTAATTTAAACACTCTCAAAGTAAGAACCTCATATGAGCTTTTTACTTTGAGCCTTTTAATACAAAAAATGAACCTTTTTTCTGAATTTCTCCTGTTGCAGGCTATTTTGTAACATAATCCTCAAAATAAATGATCACTGTATATTGTTAATTAATTCAAATAATATAATATTGATTTAGTGTTGTAGTGTGTGTGTTGCTTTATTTTTTTATGTGTACTTATTTCAGTCTATTTGTGTTTCTTATGCAGAAAAAAAAAAGCAACGATGGACAACTACGTGAGGAACAAGACACTCACCCCCCAGCAATGCATACCACTTACAAACTCTATTCTAAACATGCTGGTAAAACACATGAGGCCACTATCCATGGTGGAAGGAGCAGGCTTCCCGCTAATGTTAAAGCAGTTTAACCCAGGTTACTCCATCCCATCCAGAACACACTTTGCTAAATTGCTGGAAAAGACATACCAAGACACCATGAATCAGGTTAAAGATACTCTCTCAGCCTTGGACATCCAAATTGCCATAACAGCAGATATCTGGACAAGTGTGGTAATGAGGCATACCTGGGCATCACATGCCACTACATTGGAACCAGTGTTGGGAACGTTACTTTAAAAAAGTAATTAGTTATAGTTACTGATTACTTTGTCAAAAAAGTAACTCAGTTACTAACTGAGTTACAAGATCATAAAAGTAACTAATTACCAACAAAAGTAACTACTTAGTTACTTTTTTCATTAAAGAATGCAAGAATTACTACAATAGT